TGTCCCATTATGAATGAAACTTTCTCCCAGGAAACTGAAACCCAAGGAGAGCCAGATGGATGCACAATATCAGCTTTAGGAATATCTTGTGCTATATACAGCTCACTGTGTATAGCACGAGAGATCTGCAGTAGAAYTCAGAGAAGCAGTGCTGCACACACGCCATACACCACTGGATTGCTACACTGTTTGGGTTGGTGATGATGTTTCCAGACCAACTTTTTCTTTCAATGCCTCAGAAAAATACAGAGATTACATCTCTTCCAGAGCAATATAAGTATTAGAAAATGAGAGAAGCACCATAATTCACAAGAAATGCAGCATGGACCCTATACATTTTAACAATACATAAAACTGTATCTCTGCCCCCAGTCAAAACATTCAAAGTCTTTTGACAATCTTTACTGGAGTGAAGTTGTGGGTGCAGAGATGGAATTCCTTCCTGCTGGGCAGCTTCTTGGTATGAACACATCACCAATAATAGCAGCTTTTAGTAGCCAAACCAGGGAAAAGCCATCAACATGTGTCTATGCTACTGTTTTCAGCTCCAGAGTGGCTTTATACTTTAAGAGTCCCATGTGTTGTTTTTGTTAAGACTGCATTGACCTGAAATAGAAATGCAGCGAGACTCYGGATGACAGGGGAGAGGAGGGGAAGAACATTGTAACTATAGTCATGTGGTTAGTGTTTAAATTCTAAAATTTARAACTACTTATTATTAAAAACCTTAAAAGTTCACAGCTATAGGCCTACATAGTAAGCAAACATCTGTGGGGGAGAGAAGGAGGTAAGTTTGTTTTTGCACCTCTGGATACATTGAGGAGAGTTGATTTGACAAAGGTCTCTTCTTTTGCACCAAGTATGTTCCTCAAGCTCTGGGCTCCCTTGGCTGATGTGCTCTCCTCTCTTCCTCTTGCTGGAAGACACCATCACCGCTCGCCTGTGTGCATGGAGTGGTGGCATTTCCTCCGCCTCCTATGGATGCTGGTTTGGGGTGCTGCACCTTGCTCTCTCCTCAGGAGAGGATGGCGTTAGAACGGCGGATACCAACTAAGTTATCAGCACTGAAAGATCGTCTCATAGCAGCTTTTGACAAGTCTTTGTATTTGTCTTCACACAGCCGGGAGATTGCCTGGAGACCGCACACAGACAAAATCAAAGCCCACATTAGAAACGTTTGAACATTCCAAGTTTTACAAGTGTAATGCCAACAGCAGAGGTGCTTTGCAGCAGTGACATTGCTGGCTTTTTACCCAGAACAACAATAAATAAGGGTTACTCTGGAAGCAATACAGTGACAGGGTCTGCCCCCAAGTTAACAGGAGCCCCAGCCATCAGAAAGCCAGATCTAGAGAAGGTGAGCGGTTTCCATATCCAAGAATCTTCTTTATTTTACTAGTCTCACTATCTAATGAAAAACTTGGGTCCATTTCAGACGTTTTAGGTTTGTGGAAGTTATTATTGAAAATCATCCCTAGTAGCTGTGCCTGGTGCACACAGTAGCACAAAAWTTTTATTTCAGCAGTGCAGAAATGCACACAGGCATTTCTCTGAGAGAAAAAGGTTCAAACTGAAAAGGTTTCTGCACTCTCCTGGGCATCTTACCCTGGGCCACTCAGGGCAARCAAGCCTAAGAAATGAAGTTCTTTTCATTTTCAACAGGGCGTTTGTTTTGCCTTTACCTTCTCTAYACCCTCACTCCCAAAATATTCTAACCAGGATCACCCCCATGATCTGAGAAGGGAAGGCAACCATGGTACTTTATTATAGCAATTAAATATTAGCACACATAGACAATCTAGGATTGAACTGCTTTTTCACCCGTTTATTGGCTTGCCTCTGCCCTGCTTATCTAGCTATTCTAGTAACAAGCTTAATTATTTAAATCCTAATAACACAATTGTCAGAAAAATACTGAGTGTCCTCCCAAGRCCTATTTCTGATTGGAGCCTTCAGGCATTATCAATGCAAATTAATAAGGATACCTGTAATAAAAAAGGTCGAACTGAATTTTGGTCCTGAACATTTATTTCCATTAATAATTTACCACCTATCACCAGATGAACTTTCAGAGTCCTGTCATCAGCTACAAGCCTACACCTTCCCTTTAAGGCAGCACCCATTCAGCAAAGCCCAATGTTCTGCAAGTTCAAAAGGTGAAAAGCACTCTGAGCRTGAATAAAGTTCTAAGTGTATTTTAAAATAATTATTTACATTTATTTCTGTCGACCTTCTGGAGGCATGCATTTGGCTCAAGAGTGGCATTCTTTGAGATAACTGGCGGAATGAGCTCCTGGTGCAAGACCAGACAGACTCTCCATCCTGCTTTAATGCTAGCACATCAATCATGCAGCAACCTGTGTTGACATATTTAGCCCCAGTTGCCCATATGGTGTAAATCAGTTTTCAGTCTGGAWGGAATATTTCCCTGGAATTCCCTAATTTATACAGCTCCTATCAGCAGCTTATGTGCTTCTAACCAAAAGGCAGAACTAAACGTTTTAGCAAATGGTTTAAATATTTATCACATTTTAGAATTAAACCCCAAAATGTCCAATATACAYGCATTAATAAGTGCATTATAGCAAATTACATACTGTACAGAAAATGACTCTGGTTTCAAATACCAAGCCCCCAAATGCTAAGAAAGAAGAAACAAAACAGGCTCASAATCTGTAAATCATCCACTTGTGCCCTGGCACTGAGCAGTTCRGTAAACAATTTCCTGTGGACTATGAACTGCCCTACAACCACGTTTACAATTAGTGACAGTGTTAGCTTAAAGTGCAAGTAACAAGGGTGAGACAAAGCAGAAGAGCTGCATTGCTTAACATWAAATAGAGGAATTCATGGGCATATCATACTTATCATTCCAAAGGACCAGGAGGGATCACACTTATTCCCAAAGTTCAGGCACTTACACGACAAAATAAAATCCCTAGCACTTGGAAGAATTATTGGGTGTGGACAACAGAACAATATAAGCCAAGAATACCACAGCACACCCCTTTTTGAAAGGGACTATGGTATCAGTGTACACAGGGCCTCTGGTAATGCTTTTGTTGAGAGGTCAACAAAACAACATGCAGAGTCATCAATTAAACCTGAACAGATGAAAGGTTKCATTGATCCAACAAGAAATTTCCCTGGGAACCCAGGTAATTTATATATTTTCAAAATGTCTTACATATCTCCAGCAACRAGGAAGACTGACTCTGCAAAAGTTAAAGTTTTTTAAAATGTGCCTTCATGCCAAGAAGACTGCGGGGCCTCASTAGAAGGGCAGCCTTTCCCATTGAGCAGAAAGGGACAGTAATCTGCATTTACACTTTTCTGGGCATTCTGAAGGATTCCCAAAAAGAGGCTATTCCAGAAGTTTATCTTAAAGCARCATTTCCCTGGAAAGGTGGGAATCCACAAATTAGTTCTGCAGCTGTCCCCAAATTGTTTATTAAACCATGAGAGCAATAAGAGTGCTCCCTCTAAATCTAAAAGCAGCTGTGCAGTGGGATGCAGTGGGAAACCTTCAGCTGGTAGTATTTAGAAGGGTCTGAATGTGACTGTCTCTAGGTGCCTGGAATACAGACTGTGACCAGGGAAGGACAGACAATCCATTACATATGACACTAATCCTTTCAATCTTAAGTAGCCTAGCTGAGCTACGGTTCCCAAAATAACATTCATTTTATTTTGTGATCTGCCAGACTTTCATAATCTCTTCCAAAACCCTTCCTTTCCTCCAGAGTTCTAGCCTAGCCCAGGCATGGTTTTACAAGTGCTAAYTGTATTTATAAAGGGGTTAAATTACCCTGTAATACACTAGCCTGAAAGCTTTTTAGTTTTTCTAACTGCTACTTAACATGATTAGCAACAGATGCTCTTACTACTCATATAGACAGAGTCCCCTGCTCAGCCACTCTCAGGCCATTTACCTCCAGCTTCTGTGCTCTCTCTTTACTGAGAGGCTCCAGCAGAAAGCTCAGGTTATTGTCATCTGCTAGGGAGCGAAGATCAAAGTAGTATTTGGCGTAAACACTGGCAGGAACATTGATATTAAACTGCAGTAGCTCCAAGAAGTGTCTTTCCATCTCGTTCCTAGGAGGCGTAAGGGACAGAGGACAAAGGAGAAAAAAAAGATTGTTTTAGCTGGCTGAAAATACTGAAGAGACCTCAAGCTTGTTTTAAAACCAGCAACTTTGAAACAGGTCACCAAGAGYCCTGCATTATTAGTTTCGAGAGACAGGTCATTCCCTGGTGCTCCAAACAAGGTGCAGCTTCTGAGTCCTGGCACCTCCGGCTCTTGGAGGAAGGCAGTGCCCTGTTGTGCACTCGCTCGGCTCATTCTTCAGAGTTCCATTAGTGCAGCTGTACAATTCATGCACCATTCTCACTCTCATAYGGCCCCACACTATAGTGATCAGATGAAAGGAATGATGTATGCCGTTTATTAGCTCTGAAGAACTTGCAGACATTTTCACCAGGCTGATAACAGGAAGGGGGTTTATTGAAGTAGAGGCGCACTAACAAAAGGAGTAGGCAGATCACCACGGCAACAAATGGATCTATGAAGAGCTGCTGCTATTATCTYGCAGAAAAAAGCCTCTTGAAGCAACATGGATTCATCTCCAATAAATAAATAAATAAGCAGCATTAGGTGGGAGAAGGAATTTTCTCCTCAATAGCATTAGGCAGGATAACAAAGTACTATGTCAAAGGGCACTGTCTTGTTTTTASTCTCTTGTCTGTTTTCACTGGGCAAAATACTTGGAGGAAAGCATGGAGAGTGCCATGACATGAAAAAAGCTGCTTTGGCTACTGTACCGCGGTCAGATAAAGCAAAGATCTACAGAGGAAAAACAATGTTTTACAAATTAACCTAAAAAGAAACCGGTGGTACCCAAACAGAGCAATTCAGTTCRACACCAACTCAACAATAGTTCCGACAGGTAGCAGATCTGTTCCAACACGGTTTCGCAGCTGTATAGACCAACTGTGAATACACCAGAAAATGAGTTGCACAAAGTCAGTGCCAAGGTTGTTACTGCTTTTTGGGGGGATTTAAAAATGGATGCTCCACCTATCAGTGTGGGGACAAATAAATCAAGGAATCATCTGCGTTGTCCTGTACTGGATGGTGGGTCTCAATATGAATAGCAGCTTTGTGCTTGTTTCTAGCAYAGCAGACTTGAGTATCATTGAACCTAGTGCCAAAATTAATTTCCTGTTCCTATGGTCATAAGCCTATAGAAATGTAAATCAGATAATGTTTTGATGATCAGCTGATCAGAGCTTGATTTGCCCAGTGAATAAATGCTCTTCACTGCCCCTTTTGTACTCACTAGGCTAATACATTTTAATTCTGTAAAAATACAATTCTTCATTGGATTAACAAGTCTATTAACAGTGGTTTAAAACCTGAGAAAGGATAATGCCTATGTGTTTTCTGTGCCTTATTTACAAACACACATAGCCTAAATGAACAGCATGTGTCCCCTTACAAACAATCATTCAAAGATTAGCAGCTGCACAGTAATTTTCCAGCGATTATGGATTCACTCTCATCAAAGCAAGCAAGTTCTGACAAAGGATGACTTCCAAATATCAATTGAATTTCCTTTGATTTTTTTCCCCATTGGAAATAAGTAAAGCAAACCAAAATACCCATCTCCCAAAAACCAAAAGAAAAAWGCCTTTCATTAAAAAAATCCCTCCTTTGCTTTGGTCAATTGGACAAGGTCTTGTGACAGAGAAAGTAAGATGAACACTTCAACTGTCTTGAGTAGGATGAGGCAAAGGCAAATGACCACATGAGGCAGTTTCCAGGCCTGGATCCCATATCCCTTCAGAGCCTGAGAGCTCCCAGTGCTGCCTGAACAAAGCTGGGGGAGAGGAAGGGAGTCCAGAGAGTTTGATGGGGAGGAGATGAACCTGCACTGCCTTCAGAAGGGGTGTGTGACTTCTACATACACACCCAGAGAGGCATTTGCAAACTGGGTGAACTAAATAGGATATAAAACCTTTTTCCAGTTCCAGAATGGTGCAGCCCCCATACTTGGCTCGCAGTGATTTAACAAGAGTGTCTGTGAGGTTAGTGAGATCATTCGAGATGCAGAGAGCCAAGAGGGAAATTCACAGGAGTTCAAAAACAAGACTTGCCACCAGTTCTTGTAGAGAGGCTGTTCCTGCACAGGAATGGCCCACCCAGGGAGCCATACCTGGCAGAGTCCTGMCAAGCACTCTTGAGCTGGTGAGCTGCTGCAATTCTGGGTGGATTTCTTGGCAGCATCACCAGCCATCTCCAACATCAGAATGCAACTGTGGCTGAAAACCTTTACCATTTTTTTTTTTCTCTCATTAATTCTTGCATTTAGAATAGCTAATATTCACTGTCAAGCGACTGGTTAAAAAATACTGGAGCTACTGAAACGAACAAAAAACTATAGTACCAACTAGGAATTTAAAGCAAACTTATAAATTTAAAACATTTTTTTCTGAGTATTTGAATCAGTTTTCCAGGGTCCCTATTATGGCGATGTTATCCAGCCAAGCAGCAGTGAAGTCTGCCAGGTTGCAGAGCCTGGGATGAACACACTATGCCACCATGAAGAAGGGGGTAGTACAGTTCCTGCCCATACCTACATTCAAAGGTCTAAGTAATTTCAAATGAGATGGAATTACAAAAATCCCATCTTCAAATTGGAGGGAAAAAATATGTCTGAGTTCCATCTATTTTCCTTACCATCACTGCTTTGAAAATGCAAGTAGTGACAATTTCAGGAGACCCAGCATCAGCAACAGATAATAAATATTCTGCTTGTTACAGATATTTTCAGTGCTATCAATTTGATTTGTCCCAAACGGGGCTAGAAGAGGAGACATCAAAAAGAGCAAGATGTACACGCAGCACTCCCAGCTTTGCTGAGCCCACTTCAGCCATCTCAGAATTATTTGCAGCAACGCTGCAAGTATCCTCAGATAGATGAGCACTCAGGGCYAGGTGAGTGAAGATGTACATTGTATAAAATCACTAATTATGTTTTCCTGAAAGCAGGGCTGGSACAGCACTGCATTTTGAGACAAAGAACTCCTAGGCAAGGGAGTAAAAAAACAGTGGCTGCTGTTTGAGATGTGAAACAATAAAATGTGTTTTGATGCAGAAAACTCCCTCATTTTTAGAAATACAGCCCCTCACCAAAAAGGAAGGCRAAATATTCCTCCTCTTAAAGAGCCCCAAATGAATAATTACTTGCTGTATTTCAAACATTAGTTTGGGCTGAAKCCAGGGAAGAGAGCTTGGGGCAAGAACACTCTCCAATCCCACTGCTGCTGTGTGCAAAGCTCTCCCAGCTCATTCTGCTGCTGTTCTAGACCTGGCTGTCACTCCAGAGGCATGGACACATGCTCAGGACACAGCACTGTGCTAAAACTCACACAAAAAGCATGGCCAGAAAACAAGGCCAGAAAGCCTCAGTGTTTTAAGCTGGCCTTGTATAATTTCCACCACTGTGATAATAAGGGAAATAGGAGGACAAGCTGGCAAATAGAATTAAAACAATAATGTTGACATCTCAAAGCTCTGAGGTAGAACTTTGTGAGAAGGAATTTAACAGAAAACCTAATGGGCCAAATACAGTCTGCATAAACACACCTCCAGCCCAGGGATGAACATCTTCCCATACTGCACAATCTGTAGGGCTTAAAGCTGAGCGCAGCAAGAAAAGACAGCAGATTCAAAATTTCTGAAAAACTGAAATTTACATCTGAGACAAAAATACATCCAARGAACAGCTTTACATAAACAAGCAGTAATAAGACTGAGAACTTTGTTTTCAACATTTTAGGCACATGTAAAAATCCACCTCGAGAGGATAAGCTGTGGCAGTAGCTGTGTAACACAGGCAACCACAGCTACCCACACAAACAACACCTGCCTGCCAGCAGCAGTACTARGAATTCAGACCTTGAGATATTTAGGCCATAGCTGGATATACAAGCAAACACAAAAGTCACAAGTTATGGTTTACCTTGCAATTCTTCAAATTCTAAAACAGAAAAAGSAGGGAATAAATTCAGTTTACTTTTTTTTTTTTTCTAAAAAAACCCCTTCTGATAAGACAGTGAATTGGGCAGTTTAATTCCATGGGTCATCACTGAGAGAAAGAAGGTAAAKAAGACTAACTTTGAAGTCACTCACCCAAATCACTACAATTATTAACATAGATTTGTCTCAAAGTAGGATAATTATCCAAAGTTTCTTGAGCTAAAAAAGGGAATTAGGCCAGACACCAAACATACACCATGTGCATATATCACAGCAACAGAGATRTATTTTTTTCAGAATGATCACAAAAATTGCTATTTTAAAAAAACGACAAACAAAAAAAAAATCACACAAAAAACCCACCCAAAACCCCATCACTGTAGATTACCCAAAGCTTGCAACTTACATGTCCTCAACAGTAATGTCTTTCAGTATTTGGCAATAATCCACATTCCAAACAGCCTGATCATCCCAGACTTTAGAAGCCAGCAGAATAGCTCCTAGGACTATCCTCTTCCAGTTACTAGGGCATATGTCAATCTCTGCATAGGTTAAAAGCCTTTCCAAATAGACCTATAGACAGAAGAAAAAAAAAAAACAAACAACAAAACCCCAACAYTGTATGTGTGAAATGAACACCTGGAGCAGAGTTCTGAGCAGCAAACATGCCAGACCAATAGGATTATTTATTACTAGTAAGTATTAGTCACTGCCACTTACACTTATGAACCCAAATTTTCAGGAGTTCTCRGTTCCATTTTTATTATCACACAAGACCTGGAGCACCAGGGTGCACAAGAGCTCCTGAGGTATGAATTCTGAGCTCTGAGGTATGAATTCYCTGCTCCTTCAGGGAGACACTACTATAGCTCTGTCACTGAGTCACAAATCACTGGCAGGCTCTCATTAGGACCTACCCTGGATAGCAAATCACTCAACATCACATTAACCTTTCAGCATGGTTAAGGCTCAGCACTTGTAAATTAACAGGAAGTGCTAAACCCTGCACTTTGATCTCTAGTGGTGGGACAAAGGTGTGTTAATCGCTGTCTTTCCACAATGAAAAGCCTTCTAGTACTATTTTTATTTTACCCTGTAYAGAACAGACTTCAATCCCTTCATCTCCATCACCAGCTCTTTAGACAGTGAGAGATACCCAAGTCCAAAGATGTGTCTTGGTCTTTTACTCAATCCTCCCATGGAATCTCACACCAATAGTCAAGAACTTTCAAGGAAGGGAGAGATTCAACATCCTAGGATGTTGAATCTCTCCCTTCCTTGAAAGTTCTTGACTATTTACACTTCTATAATGATCAATGTACTAAGTAATTTGTACTTTCAAATTTAAATAGAAATAGTGTTTAGTTTTCCCTCACCTAAGTCCAAGTTCCTAATGTAGCTTCAGAGAASTTAGTGGGTGAGGGAAGCTTCACCTATTAAGGTCTAAGGGAAGGATTAATCTTTGTCACTGCAGCCTCCCCACACTTTCTTCCATCCTKGGCTTGTAGCCTTCAAATAGCCTAAAGGTGTTCCTATAATAACAGGGCCATCTAGTGGTAAAAATAATTTTAAAAAATAACACTATTTTTAGTAAATACTTCAGTTAGTTTGCCCAGGCTTAGTTGTCATCTTGGTCTCACAAAATTGCTTGCCTGTCTTTGAAAAAGCAAGAWCTTCCAACCACTTTCACATTCCCATAGCTCTTAAATATCCAACCTTTTAAATTACTCTTTTCCTTATTGAAGAGAGTCCTTCAAGCTATGTTTGCTTAATTGCTATATTGTCTTTTGGTGACAGTTCTGTTCTCTTTTCACATTGTTTTTCAGAAAGAAACCACAATGAAGACAGAAGTTTAGGGCACAACAAAGTGCAGTTTGAGAACCTGCCTAAAGCAGCAATTATACATGTTGTGGCCTTTTAATTTCCTTCATAAACATATATGGATATATATATATAAAAATTAAAAATCAGTATCACTGACCAATTTTTAAATCCATCATGCTTTCTGAAATCAAACAACGATCTGCAATTATTATCTTGATATTGTTCTTAAATTCTAATGTCAGCTGGGGAAAAAAAGTTATGGCCTCTGGCTTAATTTTTAAAAAAAAGTTTGGTAGAAAGGTAGCAACGATTGCAAGACATAAAAATGAGAAAGACCCTCTTCTAGAGCTCTTACAGGATTGACTCTTGACCTCTTAAGGCAGTATTACTTGTTCTAGTTAATATGAACTCAAACTCACACTTTCCCCTCCATACAACTGCAATAAAAGATGTCTTTGTGTATGATCTCATTACACCCCACTGTTTACAGCATYCCACTGTTCTGCTCTTCTCAAGCTTCTCCAGTGAGTTATGTACTATGAAACAATCAGGTTTTTATTGGACAAGTAATTAAGCATCACATATTTATATACAGAAAAAGAAATTGCCCTTTTATTTAATCACTTCTGTGACTACTTAGAAATCTCTAATGAACTCATACTGTGCCTTCATTAATAAGGTTTCATGAGATACTCTAAACTATTTAAATGTCAGTTCAGCCCAGTTCTCTTAATGAGGAGAGGGGAAAGTCTTCCAACAGCCCAAGTTTCAGCCCTCGGGCTCCTCTTACCAGAGTCACTATTGCACATTCTGCTGTCAGCTGCGCCGCGCTGAAGAGCGTCCGAACAAACCGGTAGATGTGCTTGTGGTCAGGGTCATGCTTGTAGTAATCATCTGGGACTTCTTCCCGCTGRAAAAAAAGTTCTTGGAATTATTGAGAATCTGTCCTACTTAGCACTGACTCTAGAGAAAATGCTGCTTCTTCTCACTGAGGTATATACAACCCTTTCCTGCTACAGAGAACRAAATTATACGCTGGAAGAAGCAGCCTTGCAATATTGCAAACATTCCAACCAAAACACAGCTTTAGCTGCTATCTCTCTTCTGAACGCTTGTTTGATCTGTAGGGCTAACAGGAAAGAACAGGAACTACCATCATCATTGCAGGTGCTAACTGTTGTTCATGGAACATTTTACAGACTGAAAAAGATGKAAAAAAAGTTTCTCCCTGCAAGAAAATCACAACTATATGCACACCAGGGAAACAATGACTTTTCACAAGTCAAAATTAATAGACTTCACAAGATTCCTTTTCCAGCTGAGGAAGCACTGAAGAACCCATGGCAATACTTCTGTCACAGGTAGAATTAGAAGGTAATTTACAGTGTCTTTACAGGACTCATTCTTGAGAGACTCCAGAAAGACAACAAAGTTACCAAACAACTAGATTTAACTCTGACACAATGCTAAACTRTTTCTAAATACWGAGGAGAAGAAAAGCASAGAAATAAACAGYCTGTAAAAKCAATCCTAAAATAAGTGTTTGAGAGATGTTCTGAWATTCAGCACTTTTTCTGGAGGGATGAAATTTCAAGAGCTTCAGCTTTCTGTTTGTTTTTGCCTGTTGCTGTTCTGTTTGTTAGTAAAATGTTWTTTTTTTCTCTTGCATCTMCTCATATTCATTCCTTATTGGTGGAAAGGGATTGGTTGAACCTGTACAGAGAGGCAACTTTTTCCAGAGTGCTCTCCTTTTAAATTGTCTTAAACCAAGCTACTGGAACTGAGGAAGGAAGCACCGAGACTGGTATTTGTGACTAAACCCATGATATCTGTAACTGGGTCACATTAGGGTCAACAGAGCCTGGATTGGACTCCTTGTGACTGCATCTTTGGGAGACAAGGTGCTCAGAGTTCTTCCTGCTAATTAGCAATTTTGAAAGAATAGTAGGTACCCAGGCAAAACACCATTGCTATAGAAAATAACAAGTCATGTGTGCCTTTCCCTCACAAGTGTGACAATCAGCCATAACTCTATTTCTGTCTGTATGCTGCAGTAAGATAGAAGAGAACTTAAAGAGTTCCCTAGAGGACACAATTMTTTTCTTCTCATTAAATAGGAAGTAGCCTATATGAAAGGATCAAAGGATGTCACAYTGTTAAATAAAGAAATTGTCTGATGAAGTGGAGTTCATCTTACATAAATAATTTTGAATGCAAAACAACAGATTCAGGCATTTAAAATAGTTTTGGTCCACACTTTTTGCTCTGAAGTGCAAAGTCCATGCAAGAAGTCTTGGATATAGCTCTTGTCCTGAAGTTCTATTTTTTTTTTGAGTTAGGAGTTGTATTTATTTATATTGTACCATACTGTACAACTCCTAGCACAATGGGTCATATTTAGGGATGAAACTCTGACAAAATTAAAATATTAAATTGTTTATTAATATCTGTTTATTAACAAGCGAAATCTGTGAAAAAGGTTGAACTGCATTCACTTAGGTATGTCCCAGAGCAAACTGAATTTTTAAAGCCACTGGATCTTTGCTAAATTAATTTCAAATGAAGAGCAAAGAAAGTGGTTCTGTAGGACAGGTATTAAGCTAGGAACTGGTTGTGAAAAGCACAGGCTCCACTCTTGAGCTTCCCTGTACTATGAGGGTTTTCCATCTTTAAGAGTGTCTAAAAAGGTGCACCAGGGCCAATCACATTAAACTTGCTGTTACTGCAAGCAGCCTTAAGCATATTTGCTTTAAAATGTCACCTTTCAGGTTTTYTAAAGGCCAAACTCACTGTTGCCTACTTTCTGTGATGCTTCATGTATTATGTTYTCCTCTTTGCAGTCATTTAAAACATACCTACAAACCAAGTCTTCCTAAATAAATAGTAAACACTTTTAATAAAGCAATGTTAAAGAGAGGAAGAAAAGAAACGGACAAGAAACTTAAAACATGGAATGCAAAAGAATTGGGCACATGCTTGCTTTCTATTTAGAGTCAAAGCATAGAAAACTAAACATACTTTACAGCATTTATAAAGACTGGGCTCTGCTCATGATCTGGCTGATATCAAAAGTCACTGTTTGCACTGCGTAAAGACACAATTTAAGATCAATCTGATTGTGGCCTGGTGCTAATACATTAATATTACTTATACAATTTAAATCAAGATGCTATTGACACACATTCAGATAATCAAAAAATTACACTTACTGTGAGAGGATGAGATTTTTCATCAAAAATATCCAATGATCTGTCAGAATCTCTATAAAACAAAAATCTCTGKTTTAGCAATAGGAGTAACTGGTAATGCTATGCTCTTGTAAAAATCATTGTTCATTAAAGAGAATAAAGGGACATATTTTATAKTTCAGCTTTTCCTAGAATATGGTATGGAGCTATCTAGTATTTTTGCAAAGCATTTAATGATGAGTCCTCACAAATAAATATTTAACATGCTAAACAATGAGTAGTTTTTTGTGTTCTTGTATTATGCTTAGTACAGTTCTCCCTCAAAATGTGAAACCATCTCATTAATAGCATTTMCTTCAAAAAGTCAGCTGTAATTCCCAAGCATATGCTGGAACTAGCTCTAATGGCAAGATTGATTTGTACATGGACAGTGTTCCATCACCCATCAGAACTAGTCTGTACCTCTCTATTCAGGAAAAGATAAACAAAATCCAGAGACTGAATTGCAGTGAGTTAAGTCTGTTTTCCTCACTGCCTATTTTGGAGTTTTATGTGCCACTGGATGGGTGCATTACTGACTCTTCCACAGCTGCTCAAGAGAGGGGACAAAGAAGAAGCAAATATAGCATAAAGTACCAGATTTTTCACCTTCTTTAAGAAGTTTTGTCAGCTGTCACTAAAGCGACCAAGATCATATTTAACTCTTTGATCTTTACAGGTTTTTTTCCCAGTCTTAATAATTCTACGATTTTATACCCCTGGCTCTAAAACAAAGTAGTTCTATTTTTTAGCAATGAAAGAGTTCACTCACCTGTTCTTTATATGGTAGAATATTGCTAATGTTACACTAAAAAAGAGAAAAGAAAAAGCAGATTTAACAAAGCATATTCCATGTACACTATTCCACTGCAAAAGTTGTCATTCAGGGCGAAATGTTACAAATCTATTTCACAGTGACCTCCTCTCACATTCCCAAGTACTCCACATCTCATTTCTGATGCTTAACTGTCTAGACAGAAAATGGCCAAATCAAATCTGCCACCCAAACTACTTTTACATTCATTGTACAGATATCTGTGCAATGAAGTAACCATTAAGTGACATTTCAAACTTATACCTTAATTTCCTGATTAGGTGATAGTTAGTGAAAATGTGGACTATTCCCAACTAAAATATAAATTCTACTTGGTGTCACATACAGCATTGTAGAGATTCTGCAGTTGTTTTAACTCTGTCTAATTTAGGACCGGTCTAAAAAGAGAGTAATAAAGATGATTATATGTCCAATCCAAGAAGTGGTCAAGAACAGATTTCAGTCTCTGCTAAGTGAAGCAATAGATTTCATATTTTAACACTCRTCTACTGTGGCTAAATTTCAGATTTYATATTTGTGGTGATAACACAAAMACTGCCATCWCAAGAACCTATCACAAAAAAGTTCTGATMTGCTGTCAGCTACACAGCACTTCAAAATGGTATATGCATAATTTTTTAGGTTTTTGCATCTCTAGRAAAGGAGAAGTGACATGCTGCATACCTTTGTCTGAAATCAAATTTTAAAATGACACAACTCAAACATTTCCAAATTCTACTACACTGTTAAATCAGTAAAGTCTTCTGGGGCTCAATCTACTCAGCCTTGCTTTCCCCTCAAGCATGGTAAAACTCTTCTCAATTCTCAGCTGGAATCATCTAAATGCAAATAACTGATTTTCTAGTACCCAGAAAAATAGGTCCAGCAGCCATTTACATTGTAGAACACAATTATCACCTACCTAAAATATSAAGTATGTGAAGAAAAAGCAGAAATGCCAGAACTAAACCCCAAGCCAGCAACATGCTTGTTTTCCACAACTAGAGGGCAGACTAATACCACTGGCAAGTACCAAATACAGCTCTGTAACTTTTCCTGCAACTCCATAAAAAATCCATTTCAAGGTTTCCCAGATAAACAATTTCTTGATTTGGCTTTCAATGTGAAGTAAACTCCCCATCTCAACACATATTTTCACACCCACAATGTTGACACACTTCTGCACTGCCTCAGAGTAATAAAGATGATTATATGTCTAATCCAAGAAGTGGTCAAGAACAGATTTCAGTCTCTGCTAAGTGAAGCAATAGATTTCATATTTKAACACTCATCTACTGTGGCTAAATTTCAGATTTTATATTTGTGGTGATARCACAAACACTGCCATCACAAGAACCTATCACAAAAAAGTTCTGATCTAACAAGGAGAAGGACTTTGAAATAGGACAGTACATGAACTCTGTGACTGAAACAAGTGCTCCCTCCAGCAGTCAATCACCCAGCCCTCKACACCCCTTTCATGACCAGTGTGAAGCTTCTCTTATTCAAGGCTGGTTTGGAACAGACAAGATCCCCAGCAAATCCCAAATAACTCTTACAATGCCACTCAAGCCCTTGTTGATGACAAAGGATCCTTACCACTTTATTGTGCTTCTAAGGTTAGGCTGACTGACAGTGCTGTCATCTATAAATATTGTTGAGCATGAGCTGTATTTTTTTGTAAGCTGCCCAGGAGAAACCTTGAGGAAAAAAAAGAAAAGAAGAACTGAAATAMATTCAACAAGAGGAATTCTGTAAGCTTTTGTTTAGCACATTGAATACTAGCTTTACACCTCAAGTAGTTGCACAGGAGGTGCATGGTGGCTGCTGCAATGTAAACTATCCTGTAGCCATCTACTTCCTTTGTGCAAAATAAATTTATAAATCATCCCTTTTAATATGTAACATGATTTTAGATAATTTACAGCAGAAATATCTGAGTTAAAGCAGCAAGTCCTCTGATTTTCTCAGTTCTCTCCCATCCATTTTTGTCAGTTTGTGTCTCAGTCTTCCCTCTCAGTGATGTTCTCTGTTAGATTGCCCTGTGACTCCATAATCACCATCTCCTTTCTTTTACATCCTATACCTTTATAGTTTCTGGTTATCAGTATTGTTCCCTATGAAGACAGTTTTGCATTTGCGTTTTGTCATGTTATAGTTTCAAAAAAAAGAAACCTTTTCCTCATCTGGATCCCTCCACACATGTCCTGTTCAGCATCTGGAATCTGGAAACAGAGTACTGCTACTACCCTTACTTTTACTATTATTATTTACAACTAGCAAYATGCTCCACCATCCCTCCTAATCAATTACATGTTTTACTGTGAGAAATCTCMTAAAAGAATCCTATCCAGGCTTCTCTGAGCATTTTTAGAGAATGCCTTGCATYAGAGATAGGACATCATATTTGAGGGAGCAATTTTAATCAAACAATTCAAGATTCATTACTTTTCACCAGAATTCTTTTAAATGCCTTGTCTAAAACTTGAAAGTCTTCTGTATGAAAATGTTGGCACCCTTCACAACTCAATAGCTGCCTGAGAATATCTCCCATTCCAGCTGAAGTTTGCTGCAAAAACAATCCAATCACATTTCACCTTGGTGCTGGCAAACCAAAGCTGGAATTGTAACAGAAAGAGAGAGGGGGGAAAAAAAAAAAAAGAATCACCCCCACTCCTTACATAATCACGCTAAATAAAAGGACTTGAAATACCATTATCTTACCAGTACTTTATCAGCAGACACTTCTGCGAGAAAATATTTTTAAGCTTTAGGTTACTAACTTCCATTCTTACCTTTACTAATCAATGATTTTTTTTATTCCCTTATTAATGACATTACATCTTTTTTGTCCTGGCTTTTTTTTTTTTGTAAGTGTCCAAACCAGCTAATTATGTGTTCATCATTCTCTTTTCATACTGGATACACTTATCAAAAGAAGTCCTGTAGCAATTCTCAATCAGCAAGTGATTCAAGACTCGCCATCTCAGCTGAGAAATTAATGCAGTTTTATTTCTGTTTAGAAGAAAATACACACAGGTTGGCTTGTATTTTCTTCTTYACTGTTCTGAAATGTTTAAGACTGATACAACAAAAAAAATTCATTCTTATTCTTTTGACATCAGCCATTCTATGCTTTATGACACTGTGCCTGTTTGTAATACTGTGCCTGTTTATTTTCTAGAAATGGGCAAAGATAAYTCAGTCTTACCTTTCTAAGGAAGATTTGGAACATGTGTAAGACTACATAATACTACCATTAATACTACAGYTGTTTCCTTGAATTTGTCTTTGGCCCAATATCTTAATATTATTTAYATAAAATCTGGTTTACTTACATGATTTATATGGTTACTCTTCCTCTTCTCTCGCACTAGAAAGAGGGAAAAAGAAATGTGATCTGAAAGGTTTCCCAATTTATATTCAATAAAGTCATTCTATTAACCAAGTTTTCCAAAGTACATGAGTATTAAAAGTTACAAATTTTACTTTAGGTGTCTGGAAAGGTAGTTTGACAAAAAAAATACCAAGTTTTATCAAGCTAGTAAGCTATATCCTACTTCTATTTACCCACATGTACATTTAGGAACAGCTTCTTCACACTAAGAAAAGATGCTGTGTATCATGAAAACCAGGACGATTGCAGATAGCTCAAACAGACAATGTCCAATATCCAAAACCAGCACTTCCTGAGCCTACCAAAGGCACACAAGGAGGAAATGAGGTRCCCAGCATTACTCACATGCTCTCTCTCCTTCTATTAGACAGCAGAAGGTAAAAGGGTATTTCACTATACAGAAGATGCTGGCACAAGCTATGCACCTATTTATCATATAACTGCAACCAGGTAATTTGATCATCTTAAACTGTGTTAGTCTTTCAAGAAAGACTGCAAGGTTAAGCTTCCAGCTGTGACAGCAGCAATACAATCCAGCAGTGTGTTAGGAGAGCTGAGAGCTGCACACATGCACAAGTGTGATCAGCCTGGACAGACACCTCTCCTAAGTTATAACCTCAAATCATCACCACTCTTCACAGGACACACTCTCTTATCTAGTTAGAAAAACTGACAATTGGAAAAGGGTATCCACATTTTTTTAGTCTTTTTGCATAAATCAAAACTCATAATCCTGATAACATTGCACTGAGAGAGAACTTATGGATATTAATTTTACTAATTCGTTAACTAAAGAACAGGAAAATTAGAAAATACATTATTCTGCCCAAGTCCTCCACAAAAWTCAATTCATCTAATACAAACTTCAGAGAATAGTTTAATAGTTACTACCTCACCTARCAGAGCCTTTTTCTACATGAACACAATTCAATACATTCCATTTGGAGAAAACCAAATCACGTTTGAAAGCAATACTGCCCCCCACAAGCCTGTTCACACAGTGTGAATATTATTATGTGAACATTATTCTGTGAATATTATTTGCAGCAAGGCTGGAAGGCTGTACAGTGACAGTGTTCATGAACTCCATCAACTTGAGAGCTGCACCTTCAGCACTGCTCATCTGAGAGGTGTTTGAAATGAGCAGGTCAGGCCCTCTCTCTGCCTGTTTGAAGACTGACCTTAAAGGCCCACAAAAAAGAGGTTTTTACATTTCCTTGGTATCATATCTCCTGGAGAATCAGGCTAGTGCTCGTTCCCACTGCTCACAGATTACCTGAGCACTGCAAAGTTGATCCAACTGACAATTTTACCACTTGCCACAAGACTGAATAGCAGGACAGCAACTGACAGACCTGTCAAAATTATTCTTTTCTGTGGCAAAGATATGCCAAGTTAAAAGACACACTGCAGCTTTCCACCAACATATCCAACTTTGCCTCACTTTCTTAGCAAAATGGTGTTTCAAACAAGAATCAACTATAAAAAGAACAGAAGCATTTAAAAAAGACTATCTTAAACACCTTTTTAGTTGCAACTTCAAAATGTACTGTTGTCAGGATTTGCTTGTATYTGTGCAATACAGAAATGCTTCCACTTTTTAACAGCATTTTGAATGCACAAGCAATAGAATTTGTTCAAAGTTGACTTTATTATGGGATCTGCAAAGAAATTGAAAATCCCAACACATCTTTCTAGTTAAAACCAGAATTGGAGAATATTTATCCTCTGAAACTATTCAAACAGTTTAAAACAACATATTCAAAAGCAACTGACAGAAGCTAGTGGTTTAGGCTTATTATTTATAACAGAAAAAAAACCTGATTTTTTTTAAAACTAATTTTTTAAACTTTAAAACAGTCCCTGGTCATTAAAAAATCCACCATTACTTGAAATTTGAACTACGCCTAATGAAAAAGCCTTACTCCTTCAGACTACTAGGATCTGCATTCTGAAATCTGGTATTTAAGCATTTTGAAGATCAAGTGATTTTAAGCATTAAATAAAATAAAACCATCTACAAACACATTTCTGTGTAAATATATAAATTATTACTCCCTGTGATTTGAAAGAATTAAAGCACTGTGTTCTTGAGCTGTTACTTTTGCTTTTATCCAATTTTTCTCTGTTTTTTTTTAATTGGAAAAAAACCTTAGCTTACCATCTGTTTGTGACTTGCTTAGGAAAATTGTGCTTGCTCTGGGATGATCAGATGGATTAGATTCCAAGGCTAAATCTGAAATAGAGAAGACAAAAGGAAGAAGATACCTTTAACAAAAGATGGTAACTGCAACAATTCCCACGCAGTCTCAAAGTGCTCAAGCATCGTGATAGAAACAAGATCAAACCCACATAGAATGGCCACTGTGGAACAAAACCTTACTTTAGCCCAGATAAATAAAAATTTCACATTTTTCCCTCTGAAAAAAAAAATCTCTTGAGATCTCAAGAGGCAACATTTATCTTCAAATTCAATCAGTGCCCTTGCATGTTCGGGTAGCTGGGTGTGGGGCATGTGCTCAGTAGTGGGCAGAAAACTAGAATTTTATCAAGAAAATAATTTTAAAAAACACACCAGAACAACAAAAATTATCACTGCTGATCTTTTCCTCTGTGATCTTTCCCTCTATGCTTTATGTACCAAAYACAGCAGGAAACAATCTCTGTGGTCTTACAAAAGAACCTAATAAGTAACATTTACAGTGCTGATAAATATCAAAACATGAAGCTTACACTAATCAGTTCTTCTGGAATTTCTAGTMAAACTATGTACAGCTAAAATATAGGTTTTGAAGACAAAATGACTGTTTTAATACTTTGCCACAACAGAGCAGTGATGGCATTAGAAGAGGATATATTASTCCCTTAGATTAGGATGGAAGTGATCACACGAGTTTGTTGATGAAACTGTGCCCATAATGATGAAATTTGGAGCTGCCTTAGCCTTGACAGGAGAAACAGCTGTTCCGAGGAAATCACGCTACAGACACAGTCACTTATGTGCACACATGAAGAGAATAATCTGGGATTCTAAATCCTGGAAAGAGCAAGTTTGCATCCATTCACAGTTGTCATTCTTAGGCCATGCCAGCCATACAAGCACATACACTCACACAGGAGTACTTGCACTTCTTAGTGTTCAAGGTGGAACACCACCAACCTGCCACACCCCTAAAAAGCAAAGTCATCTAAGAATCACCATCAACTCTTAATTAAAAAAAAAACCCCACAATCTTTTATGCACCCAACCAACAGAACTCTGCCAAACCACAAACTGTCTGGGTGCTGGAAGTGTTAACTCTGTGAATGTTTGTGCTACTGCACCAACCCCACAGCACAGCCACAGCCCTCGTGTGTCAGCAAGGAAAAGTAACTGCAAAGGTGCATGTGTCCCCAAAACTCAGCATTCCAGACTGCCACTGGTGCACAACACCACTATCCAGACTTCCATGTGTGCCAAGTACTTGGCTTTTCAACATTGCTGAACTCAGTCCAACACTGTTGCTCTGATACTGATCCAGGATGCAGATCACTAATTCTGAATCTCTACTGTGTAGGTAATACAGCCAACATCTGTTTAGGAGCACCAAGACTGTTTGAAAGGGAATTTCCCCCTCTTCCCAAAGCAGACCAGAGTGAGCCATGAAAGCAGACCATCTTGAGAAGTTTAAAAAAGCTAATTTATAAAACCAGTATTTCTATTGTCACCTGACTCTGCACATTCACAGCACCCAGTGAACAGATAAATTTTAACTGATTGATTAAMTTCAGATAAGAAGTCCTGCCTTAGAAGCCCTAGAATGGAATTTGCCTTATAGCTTATGCCTCAAGCACTACTAATACACAACTGATTCTCTGAAAAAGTAAAAATAAAAATCCAGCATGCAATAGCATGCCATACTGCCACATTTGAACTAACATTTGTAACATCTTAACAAAAATGTCACTTGTTTAAAATCTGTCTACAAGTTTGACAAGTTTCTAACACTGATTTAACAAAATCGCTTTAAGAGACAGTGTACAGCTTCTAATACTAGCACTGCATTAACAAACCAACAAACAAACAAACAGCCCAACACAAACAGTGATTCAGAAGTGTAACATTTTGCCAGCCTATCAAGTAACTGAAGTATCATCAACAGGCAGAACAAGACTGCAATATGCAAACTTAAAATACTCATTATTACCAGCAAGTGATGATGCTAACAACTCAGAATTTATTTATTTACAGTTCAGTAGCAACTTCTAGAATAACTGGGTAAGGCAGGTTAGAAAGGACTTCAGAGATCTCTAGTTCAACTTCTAGCTAAAAACAGAATCAGCTTTTGGTAGAATATGAGGCCACTCAAGGCTTTACTGAACTAAGCCTTGAAAACTTCCCATGAGGGYCCACAGATGACCTTTCCCATTAGGGGCACTAATGCCTGTAGGGCTGTGAGACTCACTATGGAATGGCAGGAAAGAGCATGTAGGACTGTACAAGACTTGTGCCGTATTTAGGGGAAGGCAGCAAGGAAAACTGGGGAGAAACAACACAGGCAAACTGAAGGAAAAGGGGTACTGAAGAGAGTAACTCTTATCACAGGACTCCAGTTCCTCCTTGCTGAATTTCATAGCATTGGTTGGTATAGGCCCAATCCCGACCCTGTCCCTCTGAATGAGCAGCCTCCAGAACACTGACTCTTGGCTGTCATCTGCAATTTGGGCATCCTCCATCGCTTCCTCCAGGTCACTGATAAATGGAAACAGGACAGATGCTTTTTTCCCAGGGAAGGGACAGTAGAGGATAACACTCATCCTCCCTCACCTCACAAAGAAATACACTACTATCTTGACTTCCCTATGGTTTTGATGTACTTTGAAACCCTATGACCTGTTAATGCTCAATTCTTATATTGTTTCTGCTTCTTCTTGTGCTCTGCCAGTCCCTCTATYCATCTTACATGTCAGAAATCAGGCCCAGGACTAAAAGCACAAGAATTAATATAACCAACTTTCATCCCAGACAAGAAGTGTCTGCAATGTCTTCTTGTCATTCCATGCAGGAAAATCCTGAGGCAAGCAGACCCACACATTTAAGGAGAGGAACAGAACTGAAAGGATAATAGATTTGACTTGCCCCAGTTCCATGGTGGCTCAGCCAGACCCAAGGAGCTTTCTGCAGGACAAAGTCTGCACACTACATCCTCAATACAGGTTATACAACCAGAGTTAAGGTACTAATGAAGTCCAAGACACATTGCATGGCCCTTGGTACAAAATCCCACCAGAAATTATAAAAGACCATCTGTAGTTGAGCTTTTTCACTTGAGGATGAACAGTGAGCAGACATTTGCAGACACAGTGCACCTGCTTTGGTCAAGCAAGAGACTGATAAGAAAGATACATTTAATAGGCACCTCCCAGGAGCTTTCTCCTCATAAGAGTCAAGAATTTTAACCATCCTGCCTGTGCCATTTTCCCTGGACAATGCTTTTTTCTAAGCAATGGAAAAATTAGTCATGTGATTTGCTCATCTTAAACTGCTAGTGTTGCTCATGAAATACCAACAAGCAACAGCAAATACAGCTGATAAAGGAAACATAAGGCAAGAGGCAGATAAGGACAGGAGCAGAGGCGAAATGTAATGGGAAACAGCAAAAGAAAAGGCAGAGGAAGAGATAAATCTGTCTGCAAACAATTTGACTCACAACCAAGCATAAAACTCCTAATACTTCATCGTGGTAGCACTTACAAAACCAAAGCCAAGATACTAGCCGTGAAAGTAAGAGTAAGTCTTGAGTAGGATCTCTGTCAGAAGTTGTATGACAGAAAACTCAAGCCTCACAGAAAGCTAAGAGAAAAAAATAAAAGCATGTATGCCACAGGACAAGAATAATAGGAATTAAAGCATGCAGAAACAAAAATGAGAGAAGTGAGAGGAACAACAGGATGATATAAAAAGAAAACAGCTCCAAAACATGTTTTTTGTAGAGGCTATCAACTCAATAGAAATCAAACCACCTTCTATCAGACCCTCACACTTAGCAATAAAGAGGCTAGAAGGGAAGATTCCCACCTGAAATTAAGACTAYTAGAGTAGCAAAACAGTGTTGCTACACAAGGGCCCTTCCCCTGTCTCTGAGAACATGGTATTAAAAACAACCTTCCCCAGTTTCTCTGCCTCTCTCAGAGCCATTTACTCATATATACTACCAAGCTTGTCAGCTCAACCCTGCCTTCAGAACTTGATTCCCTCTGCCACTGTTCCCCTTTGAGGAATCCCTTATGGCTCGCTTGCCTTTCAGACACTCTCAGCCACCTCTGCTGCTGCACACACAATCCCCCACAGGGCACATCRCATCCATTTCAAAAGCAACCCTCTGCCCTAGCTCATGATCTTATGTCCTTTCCACAACACAAAATCCACATGAAGACTTTACTTTTATCTATGCCATGTAAGAATGTGTGTAGGTTTTAGGAATTTATAACGCTAGCTACTTATCTATGGTTTACACACCTCCATGAGTGACTTCTAATTATTACAAACACATTTTACATGTTGCATTGTGCTACMTGTATTATCCCATGAATAAAGCTGACATCAAAGATGACACYAAGTAGCAGCCCTTTGATAATTTCWCTACTTCAGAAAAATAAAGTATTACATTTCCTTTAAGTTTTAGCCCAATCCTTTGCTTTAGTATACTAGACAGCAGTAACACTTTGATACAGAACATATTTAAAAGGATTAGATGATAAAACTGAGGTTTTTTACTTGCTCAATGACTTACTGGCTTTGACTAATGCTTGAGTTTCCCTTATATTTCATTACCATACACTGTAAAGATACAAGTCACTTAACACTCCCAAWCAAGATGCAAAAAATTTTAACAAATTAGACAAGCAAATTTGCCAACTTGTTTCAGAAATTCTGCTATTCCTAATAATAACTTCATATAAAATTATTTATCCTTCAAATTATGYTATTCTATTTCTTTTCCCAAAACGTTTTAGGAAAGTTACAAGTCTGGTTTCTAAATTTAACCGGATTTGTTTATTTGTCCCAGCCACACCAAATGCACCAGAGAGCCCAGCATGCGTAGTTTGCTTTCCATTTGCAACTCTCATTGTTAAAAGACTGTTAAACCATTATTTCTAAATATTGTGAATGTACACAATACCCACAGAAGGATGTTTTAAAGCTATTTAAAATCGGTCAGTTGATCTTTATGGCACTACTACAGAAACAGTAAC